CTTACTTCCCTGTGTGTGTTTGTCCAGGATCTTTTGGCAACTGCACAGCCCTCTAGGGTAAGGAAGCCAGGCCAAGACAAAGTCCAGTTTCAAAGGCCTCTGGCCTGTTTTTTTCTGTTGGTAAGAAGTAACAGGATACAACAAGCAGCAAACCTTATTTCTCCACAAAACACTTCCCTCACCCCACCCTGCTTTAACTGCAGTTATATAGCTGCTCACAGCCCCTACAGGTGAGGCTAATGACCTTATTAGGTAGTGAGCCAGAACTCCTTAGAAAACCTGGGCTGGACTCATGCATAGCCACTCTGACAGTGGGTGGAGAATCGGCCCACCCTGCTCTTCCGAATACTCCACCCCAGGGACCCAAATAACAATAGAGAAAAAAACCTACATTTAACATTAACTTTCCCTGGGGCTGCATGTGCTTAACCACATGTCAGGATAGTGGCTGCGCAAAAGTCTGGGTGCCAGATATACACCCTTGACCACCATCCCCAACTGTCACAATATATATGCACACACAAAATTACAGATATACACACATTCAAAAACACAATCACATACCCACACACGTACACATACAATCACACAAATCAGGTATGTTGCTGCAATATTTACATGAAACAAGGCAGTTTGCCACCCCATTGAAAAAGTGCTGCCTGAGGCATATGCCTGGTTAGCCTCATGATAGATACAGAACTATCCCTAAGCATGATCAGTAAATTGTCATACCTCTGGCTGCCACGCATCACTTGCAGTCTCTGATGGTAGCCTTGCGGCAGCCTCGAAGTCTGGGGATCCGCGCCTCCACTTTCCAGGAGAACTGCCAGCCCAACAAACCATGTGATGTGCAGAGAAAATCTTGCAGCTATAACCAGGAAACGCAGCATGGCAGAGGGAGAAGAGTGTGCCGTCTGGCTACAAGACGTGCTTCTGTCTCATTTTTGATACTCTGTGTACAGTCTCCAAATTCAGTTTTGACCTCTCTCCAATGCCAGTTTATGGGCTTTAGCCATGTATCAACTACAGACTTTTCCATGCTATTTATTTACCTTTTTATCTAATGTCACCTATTACAAACTGGGCCCAATCTAATGAAGTCCTTGAGATACTCTATAACCCTCAAAGCCCCTGAGATACTCTATAACACCCACAAATAATTTCTTGTAGTATGAACTGAAGGATACATCCTGAAGAGGATATTTACTGCTAAGATATGAACATAACACTGTAAAGTGCATTCTGCTCTAGACATGCCCACTGCATTCTCGTAAACCCTTCCATGTATAGCTGGGGAATCTGAATGGATGTAAATGGTTAACAGGCATAAAAGCACACATTATGACTCATAAACGACTTTACCACTCATGAACTCAAATACCAAAAATAGACCATATAGGCCACACACTATATAATATAGCTTAGAAGGAGTCTTTCTGTGTGATGTTGTAAATATGTGGCATGTTTATATAGTATATTTAATGGAAGCTATTCAAACATAATTGGTAAAGCAAAAGATAGGTGACTGTGACTGGTTTTTCTAGTAAGTTCACCTTAGTTTATAATTTGCATAACATGTGTTTTTCCTTAAATATACATATTTTACTTCTTTGCACAAGTGTCATGTTTTAGTTTAACCCCTTCACAGGAGATCACTCCCTAGGCAGGGCCCCATTTGCCATTAGCCGGAGTAGGCAAGTGCCCAGAGCGCCTGTCTAATAGAGGTGCATTCCCTAGTTTAACTATGAGTACAAGAAGTAGAAGTCAATAAAAGTAGAATTTCAGCTTGAGACTGTATATCATCATCAACTGGTGGATTACTCTAAGGTCACCTTTTTACTCAATCTTTCCTGCATTTGAGACCACCGCTGTGTTAATTGCTGCTTTGTTATTCCTATCACTCTGGACTCTTTCCAGGAAAACCACTCCACTTGAACAGCCATTTTGTTTCTGTTCTATTCACTACTGCCAAAGCGCCAACATCCGGAGAATGTGCAATCTATACAAAACGAAACACACATTTACTCATTATATACGTCTACATAAATGCATGCCTGTAGTGTGAAGAACTTACCACCCACAATTGGGAGGTATGGAACCAGGATGAAGGGCTGGGTGTATCTCTAGAAGCATGTCATTGATGCAGTTGCATTACTGGTGACACCCAAAGGGAATGGGCCCATCTGAAATGGGTATGTCAGCCTATTGTGAGGGCAGTAAAACTGACTGGTTATTGACATGACTAGCCATACAGAGGGCAGGCACCAGGGACTTGGTGGTTGGACAGGACCTCAAATTTCAGACTGTTAGGAAGTATAGAAGTGTATGTAAATTGTCTATAGCATTGTATGTTTAGGTGGGGAGTGCATGTAGGACGTCATTAATAGTATATATTGTGTGTGGGTGCATAGCTATAGTCTTTAGATGTATGTATTCACTACATGCAATGATTTACACAATACATGCATGCATCGATGTGTAAGATGATTTGCATGTTTATACAACATCCAATTTGTATGTTAAACCTTGAGTAAAATATCACAGCATTATTATAAAGATGACATGTAAATCTAATCTAATGTTGCAGGTGCTGAAAGGGGATTTTCCGTTCAGCTTGTTATTGATGGGTTCAAGCACGAAAAGAGGTTGTAAATGAAAGGAATTGCAAATTGTTGTATCTGCTTAGTTCAAGTCTGATTGTTAAAAGGATAATTGTGGAAAACAGCAACGACAGTAAGTAAAAGGTTAGAGTAATCTGTCCAGAGAACAGAAGGAGCATTCATTTAAGCTCAAGTTGTGCTAGGAGTGGCATATATAGGTGATATATAAAGTGTTATGCGTGAATTCAGGTTAAACGGAATTCAACATAGTGACAATTCTTCATCCAAATACTTGCCTCTGAACCATTTAGGTATTTTTCTACTTTTCTAGATAACAAAAGTTAAAAGGTATTTTTATGTCATTGGTTTTATTATCTTTGTTTTAAATAAAAATAATTTTTACCTTACCTGGACCTTCCTGATTTTATCCCTGCAGATTTTATTATACATTTTAGTGTGGTGTAAGGGAAGAAACCAGACAAGTGTTGAAGCAGCTATTTGTTCATTATATATTCTACTAAGCACCCCAATTCACAGTTTGTTGAAGCTTTAAATGTATTGTTTAAATAATTTTGTTTGTCTTTCTTTCTCATTTTTTTTAGCGCTGACATAGTTTTTTTGTTGCTGTTTTTTTATGTTGTTTTTTTAGATATGACAAGCTAATGTGATTTGACTTTTGTATTGTAATGTATGCTAATTATACTAATAAGACAAACTAATAATACAAAATATGCAATGATGTTATGTCATGTTTAATTATACTCCTGTTCTGTCCATTGAATGCAATGTTTATCTGCTGTACAATTGTAATAAAATAAAATAAATAATTAAAAATAATTATGAAATTAAATATATATATATACATATATATAAAAATAAAAAAAAATATAAAAAAATAACGCAAGCTAATAAATTAAATGTGTGAAGGAAAAAAAATGATTGCCTCATAAATAAAAACAGTAAAATAATGTTTATAATTGAGAAAAATTGTAGAATGCACAAACTGTACATACTCGTGTAAATACCAGATTCTATAAAATATAATTTAAACAAGTGTTAGCTTAAACAATATCCACATCCAATATCTGTAATATCAAATAAAAGTGTAATATAACACTATAGGGATTATGCAGTAAACTCTGAATTGTATAAAACCAGACAAGGAAAAGTTTTACAAAAATAGTAGACCTAAAGAAATGATTAAACGACATATAGCATGCTAATTAAGATATAGAAACAGTACAATATCCAAAAGGTAATACGATCATTCATAAGTTGCTCTATACAATTCTAGACAGGACATTGGGATCAGTTATTAGTAATGTCTATATTACATAACGTGCTGTAGATATCAAGTCAGAACTATAGGCTATATATATTAGTCATTGTAATGGCAGTAAACTTTAGTCCCAAAAGATATTTTCTTTTCTTTTAAAAGGATTCTGTAAAAGCTAAAACCAGTTTATCTAAATGCCATGGTTTTGTACCTTTTTTTTTGGACAATGTTAAACACTTACAGAAAACAAAAGGAAATCAGCGCTAATTAACAAACAATATGTAGATAGGCAGCAACCCAAACGAAGGAGACCCCTCAAATTCTTCAATAGATGAGACAATACAAAGAGATGGGGTTGGGCTGCGCCAGCAGAAAAGTAAAATAACGTAAAATAGTCCAAATGAGTCTCACAAGAGCAACAATGCTTGATGGGATATAGATGAGTAGTTGTTTCAGTAGGGGTGCGTCTTAGTGTCTCAGGGTATTCGCATATGTAAAAAGACAGAGATACAGGAACAACCAGTAGTGCGACACGTTTAAAATCGAAAGGGTAAAATAATAGTAGAAGATACAAAACTCACATTCAAAAGAGCTATGACCAGCTCTGGTGTGAAAAGCGTACAACGGTATAATCCCTGCTGCTGGGATGTGTAAAGGAAATGCGTCTATCAGCGCCGTCTGGTCATCCGAAGCTCCAGGGGAAATAAACAGAGGCGACAATAGTGCACTCAATTTGATAAAAGTAAGTAAAAGTAACTAGAATAATTCTTACAGGTATAGAGCAGAATACACTGCTTCTTTAATAAGGCGTTGGTGGTATGATCCCCACCTGGAATTTCTTTAAGTGCAGGAACAATAATAAAAAGCCAGGAAAGTAAAAATAGTAGACGTGCATAAAAATACAATAAAAAGAGAATTGGCACAGTAAAGTAACCAAAAACCTTTATTTGATCTAAAATACACAATTTAAAATAACCATTACGCGTTTCACCAAAAAGGCTTTCTCAAATGGCATAAAGCCATCTCTTTGTATCATCTCATCTATTGAAGGATTTGAGGGGTCTCCTTCGTTTGGGTTGCTGCCTATCTACATATTGTTTGCCCCAAGAAGCACATCTAGCAGCCATCTGAGGAGTGGCCAGTGGAGGTACCCCTATGCTCTTATGTAAACTGCAAAAAGTCTGAAGGGAATGATTAATCATCAGAACAAATACAACGAGCTGTAGTAGTTCTGGTGACCATAGTGTCCCTTTAATGTAGTTGTTCTGGTGAGTATAGTCAATCCTTGCAGCCTTTTTGCAGTAAACACTGCCTTTTCAAAGAAAAGGCAGTGTTTTCATTGCTCTCTAGAGACACCTCCAGTGGCCTCTCTTCAGATAAGGCTGAACTTTCCCCATAGAGATACTAATTGACCAAGCTGGCGTTTGGCCCCATCTCGCTGCCTTGACAATCTCAGACAATACAATGCTTTTCCTATGGGAAAGCATTGGATTGGCTGAAATAATCAATCATGATTATGTCAGCCAAGAAGATGGATCAGAGGCGGGGCCAGCACCAGCAGACCCAGACGGCGTTGGAAATAAGGTACGTTTTCTTACCTTTTAAGGGGGGCCAAGCCACCTAAATGGTGGTTTTAACACTACAGGATCAGAAATACATGTTTATGTTCCTGACCCTATAGTGTTCCTTTAATTTAAATTAGTGTTAGAAAATAGATAACCATATAATCCTACTGAGATTAAATCTAGTCATTTGCTCACTGCTTAAAAAGCCCCCTACCCACTCACAGCCCCGCCCGGTCACAGCCCCCACCCCCTCCTCCCCCACCCTCTCACAGCTACCCTACCTTGTCACAGCCCCACCAATTGCAGAAACCCATGGGTGATATGACACAGCTGAGTACCACAGCGCATAATTATTATATCTTTGTCCCATAGCACCAGTAAATGAGAGGAAGAGACACACTGGTTGAGTGAAGGTCAATTCATGGGCCTTCTCTGATAACTAGTGATCCTAGTGCGCACCTCACAATATTTTTCAGGTAGGGGCTGATGTAGACCATACTAGCTCCTAGGGGTTCTACGAGACCCATTCTGATTTTTGTTTTGTTTTTAACAAGGGATCTAGTGGGGCAGCCCTCTGTTAATATAACGTTTCTCACTGTTTGTATGCTCAATACAATGAGCTGCATCTTAACAGAGTTGGTGTAGTATTTGATAGCCACTTTTTATATACTTAGTGAAAATCTAGGGCTTAGAATATATTTAGCTTTTAGAGAATTTTAGAAGTCTATAGTCGGTTATTACAGATTTACAAAAGTGGAAAAAAAAACAATTGTCAATGCAATCATTCAACTTAAAGGACCACTCTAGGCACCCAGACCACTTCAGCTTAATGAAGTGGTCTGGGTGCCAGGTCCAGCTAGGGTTAACCCATTTTTACATAAACATAGCAGTTTCAGAGAAACTGCTATGTTTATCAATGGGTTAAGCCTTCCCCTATTTCCTCTAGTCGCTGTCTCATTGACAGCCACTAGAGGCGCTTGCGTGCTTCTCACTGTGATTGAATGCGCGTGCAGCTCTTGCCGCGCGTGCGCATTCAGCCGACGGGGAGGAACGGAGGAGGATCGGAGGAGGAGAGCTCTCCGCCCAGCGCTGGAAAAAGGTAAGTTTTAACCCCTTTCCCCTTTCCAGAGCCCGGCGGGAGGGGGACCCTGAGGGTGGGGGCACCCTCAGGGCACTATAGTGCCAGGAAAACGAGTATGTTTTCCTGGCACTATAGTGGTCCTTTAATTATGCTACAAAACGTGAAAGAAAGTAGTACGCACTCACTACAGTAATGAGCACAGGATGATAGTCGGCAGCAGTAACCAATACAAGGATTTCCAACCTTGTAATAGTAATAAAGTGTCAAAGTCTCCTATTTTCTTTGAAACTTAATTATGCTACGTTGTGTTTACTATAAAGTCCACCATCACTTGGATGGCAAACACTATACAACAATGTTCCAGTGAGTATTTTATATGTTCAAGAATATTACACTCTGTTTTTGGAATCTTGACTTCTTTAACCCCTTAAGACCACAGCCAAATGTACAAGTTGCGATCAAAACAAAAAACATAAACAAAACCTGGCATTTGCGCTATATGTCCGTCCAACCAGGGCCGCCATCAGGGCATGACAACCGCAACGGTTGTCATGGGCCCGGCAGTCCTGGGGGGCCCGGACTGCTCAGGTCGTCCGGGCCCCGCATTCAGTGGGTACATACCGGGTCGCAGGGGGTCCTGCGACCCGGTATGTACCCACAGGGCCAGCCTCTTCTCCTGGGGGGCCCCCAGAGGCTGGCCTGCAGACACCCGGCGGGCGGGCGGGGCGCGAGGGAGGGAGCACTCTCTGTGTGCTTCCTCTTCAGCTCCTCGCGCGATCGTATTGATACGGAGCCGGAAGATGACGCCATCTTCCGCCCGCATCAGTACGCCGCCGCTGGAGTCAGAAGAGGAAGCACACAGAGAGGCCACGCTGCGCGTCCACCGGGCAGTGCCAGTACGCACGCAAAATTCAAGGGTGGGAATGAAATGGGAGGGAGGGGGAGAGAATAAAAATGGGAGGCTAGAGGTGGAGGAATGAAATTGGAGGGGAGGAGAATGAAATGCAGTTGAGGAGAGGGGAGAGAATAAAATGGAGTGGGGGGAATGAAAATGGGAGGGAGGGGGAGAGAATGAAATGGGAGGGAGGGGGAGGAAAATGAAATGGGAAACAGAGAGAGGGGGGAGAGAAGTTAAAAATGGGAGGGGGGGAAATGAAATGGGAGGGAGGGGGGGAGAGAATAAATGGGAGAGGGGGTGGGAGGAAATGAAATGGGAGGGTGGGAGGAAATGAAATTTGAGGTGGAGGGAGGGAAGGAATGAAATGGAGGGGGTGAGGAAATGAAATGGGAGAGGGGAAAGGAATGAAATATGAGGGGGAAGGAAATGGAGGGGGGGGACAGGAATGAAATTTGAGGGGAGGGGGGGGCAGAGGAAGGAAATTTGAAGAGGGGGGGAGAGGGATGGAAGTTCTGAGGGGGGGGTAAGAGAAGGAAACCGAGGGAGGGGGAGGCTGTGCAGTCGGAAATTTTGAGGGAGGAGGGGGAGAGTAGAAGGAAATTAGAGGGAGGGGGACAGGAAGGAAATTTGAGGAAGGGAGAGAGGAAGGAAATTTGAGGATGGGGAGAGGAAGGAAATTTGAGGGACGGGGGAGAGGAAGGAAATTTGAGGGACGGGGAGAGGAAAATTTGAGGGACGGGGGGAGAGGAAGGAAATTTGAGTGACGGGGAGAGGAAGGAAATTGGAGGGGAGAGGAAGGAAATTGGAGAGGGAGGGGGAGAAGAAGGAAATTGGAGGGAGGGGGGGGAGGGGGAGAGACTGACATTCATCACACACAATGCACCCCTTGCACACAGAAAAACACACAATGCATTACACACAGACACACGTACACAAGCAATGCATCCCTTACACACAGCAACACACAATGCACCCCTTACACACACTCAATGCATCCCTTACAGACGCACACACTGCATCCCATACATACACAAACTCATCTTGCAGCCCTTACACATACAAACACAGATTCACACAATGCATTCCTTACACACATCAGGACATCCCCCACACACACACTCCACCCCTGTGAACTTGGTGAACATGAAGGTGGACCCTGGGACCCAGACCTTGAGCTGTGTAAAGGGCCCTCAAAAAAATGGAGCTGCTTCCCGTTCTCCCAGAACAGTGATTTTTGTGACCACAGTTACAAACCGCCTCCAGAGAGCCTGTTGTACACCAGACCAGTGGAGCCAGACGGCAGCCAGAGCCCATCATCATCCTCATCTGGTTGTAAGTAGGCAATCTAGTATATTATTCGTGGCACTAATCTCTAATTTACCTCACATTAAAGGGACACTATAGTCCCCAGAACCACTGCAGCTTAATGTAGTGGTTCTGGTGTCTAGCCTGTCCCTGCAGGCCTTTTAATGTAAACACGGCGGCACTGCAGCACTGGTGTTAGTTAACATGGCAGATCATATGGGTGGGGCATTGTGATGTCACATGGGGGGGCGGCAAACTTTACTTTTGCCTAGGGCGGCAAAAATCCTTGCACCGGCCCTGCAGACACTGCATCCCTGTGTGCGGATTCGGGGGGGGGAGGAGGCAGCACTTTGGGTGGACTCGGGTGCAGGCACCGGGGGGGCCCAGACCTTGAGCTGTGTCAGGGGCCCCAACATTTCTGATGGCAGCCCTGCGTCCAACCGTAATTCGCCTCTTTCATATTAAATGCACCCACACTTATTATATATCATTTTATTCAGGGGAAACAGGGATTTCATTTAATATCAAATATTTAGGTATGGAACATAATTTAATATGAATAAAATATAAAAAAAATGGGAGAAAATTTTCTTAGTTCTACGTGACATTTTAATTGCGAATGTCAAAATACTGTTTGCTTTTACTGCAATAAAATACACATTTGTATTCATCGATATCTCACTTATAAAACAGTACCCCCTATGTACAGGTTTTATGGTGTTTTGGGAAGTTACAGGGTCAAATATAGCATGTTATTTTTTTACAGTTGACTGTGGGAGTGTTTTGCAAAAAGAAAGAAAAAAATCCATAAAAAAAAAAAAGCTATTTGAATATTGACTCTTTATTACTCTTTAAAACTAGTGCATGCATTCTCTGCTTCTATTATCTTAATGGCAGGCTTAGTTACAGCTTCTAAGCCTAGGCATGTCTTTAAAAGTAGCTATCTGGGCATCCTGGTCTGTATCGATTTAATCAAAGCTGAACAATTCCACTCAATTAAGTGCTTTATTTATTAACCCCTTAAGGACACATGACGGAAATATTCCATCATGATTCCCTTTTATTCCAGAAGTTGTGTCATTAAGGGGTTAAAGCAGGAATTGTGGACAATTGAGAAGAGATTTGAAAATAGCCGAGATGAAAAAATAGCTGAGATGGAGATTTTTTCCACTTCAGCTATCCTGGCATTCAATTTGCAATTCCCTTGTCAATTACCCAAAAGATTCTGCTTAGTGAGTTAATTCTTAAGTGTATTTCTCATTCGCATATCAAAGCTTCCTCTAAAGCAGGGTTCTCCAAACTCTAGCCCACCGGATGTTGCTAAACTACCATCTATTTCATTCCATCTGTGATTTTTAGGGGAAATGTGACTGGGCGGCTGCATTTCATGATGAGTGTAGCTTTCTCTCACTGCACTGTTGTTGTCCTACAACATGCCTGAATGACACTTAGTGTCCCATGTTCCATTCATTCAGGTGTGTGATTGGTAGCACCAC